TCATTCAAGATTGGAGGCAATTTTAAATATATATGTAGTTGCAACAGGAAAGAAGTGGTCACCAGTCCCCGAAGCATCGCCATCAGATCCACTTGACCATCCGCCCTGAGTTCACTATAAATAGCATAGATAGGCAAGAACGCAGACGTATGATCACGTTGGGCAGTTGCTAGCCACTTCAAATGGAGTAGCGCGTATGGCTGTGGCCATATAAGCGACGCAGCGCATGGATACGGGCCCAAAAAATATGGTAAGTAGCAAAGCAAGGCGACCGCGCATATTGTTATCACGATGACCAGTAATGATTGACTTTATTTTCCGCAAATTTGAACTAGCTTGGTATCGTTTTCTAACTGAAGGGCGGGATTATTCCTAATGGGAAAGATATTGCTGTGCAGTTATTTCATAAAGATGCACCATCTGCTGACTTGTCAGAGAGTGAAGGTTATCCACGATAGTTCAGTGGGTATTCTGTGGATGATATTTCATCTGTGAAGTACATTGTAGGATGCTACGATACGCCGAAGTTGGATTTCGTGCTTCATCTCGTGTACCGGTAATGAAATTAGCTGTGGAAGCACCACTGAACAGTGATTCTCTGAGAGCGGGTGTTCACGACAGTTTCTGTGGATGGAAAACAGAAAGAAAGCCTATAAGCCGAAGCCCAGTAAGCTAGGTTACGCAGTACCAATACTTACACATAAATCAAACTAACAGACAGCGTATAATGCACCCGCTCATTTGTACAAATTGTCATGAGCGGCATATCAGCAAAATTTGCAGATGGACTAGACTGTCACCCTGTAAAACTTGCAACTTCGAAAAACAAACAGTTCTGTCCAAAATAATTTCAGTTTACTTGTAGTAAGCGACACACTGCATCTAGTTCCTAGTTCAGAAACTACTTTGTACGTCTTCTCACTTGAGTCCTCTTACTGGCAAGATTACTGCCCCACGCTGAGAAATTTGAGAGCACTGTTCCACTTTTTCGGTTGTGCCTTTCAGGTTAACAATGGCCGCTGAACTGCAAGAACAAGCCCTACCCGGGATGTTTGGTCGAAAGTCTCAACTCTGTGTATCAATCTCTGGATCCATAGGAAATGATTTATCATTATAACATTTTTTCCCTCTAGTGGTATGCCCACGCACTTGACACGCTAGAAGGAGACTACTCTAGCAGCTATCAAATATTTTTTATGCTTAGTATGATCTCTTTACCATTTCAATACTAGTGGCATTTTTGTGTCATCTTTGTTTTAACCAACTAACCACATGCCCACTTTACAGGAAAAGACCTTGGGCGTTTTTGCTGAGTGGCTGTGATGGGATTTTGGGTGAACACTACTGGCTGGCGCTAATTTTCAACGGGTACAAAGATTTTAGCTGCAAACTTCAACCTAACCCCTCATGCCAGTTGATTTACAGTACGCCTACTGGAGGTTTGAGAACCGGATAAGTAGAAACTTCTTTCCGTGGTGATTTAAAGGAATACAAATCCTTGGAATTTCCTCCTGTGGACTGAGTCAAGATTTCCGGAGCATGGAGGTATTGTTCCGGTTTCACCTCTTGTCATATGCTTCCAGTTCCTCTCTCAACCGCCGGTGGTGCTGAGCCGGGATAGACCGCGAACCCCCTTGTAATTCGCTCGGTTATTTTTTGACGTTGAACATTTAGAACACCGTTTGCAGGATCTCATCAATTCAGAGTGTGGGTTCCGAAGGCCGAATCGTCCGCGGATGGTATATCTCGCAGTTCCGGTTATGGCCATCAGGTATGTGTGCACATATGGTGTAATCGCCACTAGGTTATTGAGTCACACCGTTCCCCAATGGTCTACGTGCAACGCAATCGCAGATGGCCCCTTGCGGTTGCCTTCCGACCGGCAATGACACCAGTGGCCTATCGCTTGCGCGTCCTTCCCCGTTTCGTGGATGCAGACCGTGCTGATGATGTAATCGAGACGTAAGTGTTTTGCAACATTTATCATGATAATCTTCCTAGGTGTAGCAAACATTTCGACAAGTCATCAAAGAGCACAAAGGATCGGTCATTCATCCATCTGTTAACTCCGTTGGCTGAATACGTAACGGACAACACGGGGTGCGGTCTTCGCACTTCTCAGATTTCGGTGTTGTACCCCCTCGATGTGCTTGGGCTTCTGAAGCGTTCCCAGGCTGATACTACCTCGCCAACTGAGGCACGCCAAGGCCTCACTGACTCGCAGTCACATTTGCTTCCAGAAGTCAGGGATATGATCGATTGTCGTGTGAACTGCTACAACAGCTGTTTCGGCGCCCACGTTCGGGGCGAAATAAATCTCCTATGCACATTGGAGATAAAACCAAAGTAGGGATTTCTCTTCTTTGAAGGGTTTTAGATCCTATTACACGATTACTACACTCTAGATAGGTTCTTTCTCGGGACACTGGTTCTTGAACTTAATCGACTCTTGATTGTTCTATCTACCTGTTGTCCTTGTTAAAGTCCTCCCATTTCGGAAGCAGTGTTCCAAATTGTATTCCTACCTCCTATGCAGCGAACACAAGCAGCAGCAGGAGAGATTTATTTACTGGCGTCCCAATCAGGTAGGGCGGCTCGGGGCACACCAGGAGCTGGGATGCCGGCTGCTGAGGTGTTTGGTCATTCTAGCGTGAGGAGATTGATAGGTTGATGGTTTGTGACAGTAATTAGTGCACTTGAAAAATAATCGTTGGTAACAAGTCGATATCACCGTCGATTGCTTCGTGGTTGTGTTGTATCGTCGTTCATTTAAAACGCAGGTCGGGCCTTCATAACGCAATTTGCAGTATCCTAGGCAAAACAAAATTGGTTGCATTATCTTTGGACGCAGTTGGGTGTATGTCTTTTGTTGCAAGCGGGGGCGAGATGGCTCAGTGGTTGGAGTGCAACATACTGACTGGAAGGCCCTCTGTTCGAACCCGGCCGGTGCATCTTGACTTCCTGTCTAGGCCTGGGCAATCTGAGAGTATTTCAGCCCTCGTGCTTCCTCCGGGCGGCTAGGCACCGAAAGAGTGCTACAGCTGAACGGTCTTCATTATTTCCCAAGCGGACACACACTTATAGACACTCTGGTTAACCCGGCACCACCCCACATTACAACCAATAATAGATATCACAAAGTTTTTTGTAGGAGTTGACCGTAACTAAGACGGCGTGTGCATATTGAAGGTCAGTATCTATCATGGTACGATGACAAAGCTACCCAAGTACAGGTGTGTGGACAGTGTGCTCCTCTCAGAAACTAAGCTACACCATAGATTCTGCGTGGCATAGACAGTACCTAAAAGCCATATCCTGTATGTGGCAGTGAGACCAGAATTCACGACCCAAATTCCTGGTGTTGTATTTCTGTATCAGCTGCTTTGACAAATTCTGATTGGTCGGTATTGTGGGAATCGGAACCAAATATTGGCCACATCATCTTACGTTACAGACCGTTCACTCGGACCATGAACAGAGAATTCATCAAGGTTAGCTCTGAAATGTTTATCAGTAGCTTCGCTACATTCACTAGGGTGAGTTTGCGCGAGGGCGCTCTAGCACTGCAGGCCTTCGCCACCCTGCTAATCAAAAACGGTTGCAGGCGGCCTACCACATTTTTACCAGTGTTTTTGGCGTTCTACTGGTACGCAAACTTACCTGCCGACTAGCTCCATACACACATGGCATGGAACTCTGGTATGATTGAACACCCTTCACTGCATTCATGATGTCACTAAACCAAAAGTGATTTCGATCGAAACACTTGAGTCCCCACCATCCCCAACCAATATTAGTTGTGACCTTTGAAGATGGCCAGCTACGATTGTAACGTTTTAGAATGCCTGCATAAAATTGATACATCCCATGGATGTTTCTGGATTGTAGGTTGAAGTGTTTGGCAGTTGGGACTGATCTCAGTTATTCTTATCAATACGAATGGTGTTTTGTGGTGTTGAAATATGCGCTGCTAACGACTTCGGCAGCGATGGTCGTTTGTGTTGATTAGAAAGTTCACCATGCACTGTGGCAGTATCTAACACGCAGGTGTCCTCACAGATTCCTTGCTCTCCTGAAAGCACTGTTTGATAACGCCGATGAACATTTAGTGGCCTGTCAGGCGCTGAGTTCATTATTTCCAAGCGGACACACACTTATAGACACTCTGGTTAACCCGGCACCACCCCACATTACAACCAATAATAGATATCACAAAGTTTTTTGTAGGAGTTGACCGTAACTAAGACGGCGTGTGCATATTGAAGGTCAGTATCTATCATGGTACGATGACAAAGCTACCCAAGTACAGGTGTGTGGACAGTGTGCTCCTCTCAGAAACTAAGCTACACCATAGATTCTGCGTGGCATAGACAGTACCTAAAAGCCATATCCTGTATGTGGCAGTGAGACCAGAATTCACGACCCAAATTCCTGGTGTTGTATTTCTGTATCAGCTGCTTTGACAAATTCTGATTGCTCGGTATTGTGGGAATCGGAACCAAATATTGGCCACATCATCTTACGTTACGGACCACTTTTCTTCGTTCACTCGGACCATGAACAGAGAATTCATCAAGGTTAGCTCTGAAATGTTTATCAGTAGCTTCGCTACATTCACTAGAGTGAGTTTGCGCGAGGGCGCTCTAGCACTGCAGGCCTTCGCCACCCTGCTAATCAAAAACGGTTGCAGGCGGCCTACCACATTTTTACCAGTGTTTTTGGCGTTCTACTGGTACGCAAACTTACCTGCCGACTAGCTCCATACACACATGGCATGGAACTCTGGTATGATTGAACACCCTTCACTGCATTCATGATGTCACTAAACCAAAAGTGATTTCGATCGAAACACTTGAGTCCCCACCATCCCCAACCAATATTAGTTGTGACCTTTGAAGATGGCCAGCTACGATTGTAACGTTTTAGAATGCCTGCATAAAATTGATACATCCCATGGATGTTTCTGGATTGTAGGTTGAAGTGTTTGGCAGTTGGGACTGATCTCAGTTATTCTTATCAATACGAATGGTGTTTTGTGGTGTTGAAATATGCGCTGCTAACGACTTCGGCAGCGATGGTCGTTTGTGTTGATTAGAAAGTTCACCATGCACTGTGGCAGTATCTAACACGCAGGTGTCCTCACAGATTCCTTGCTCTCCTGAAAGCACTGTTTGATAACGCCGATGAACATTTAGTGGCCTGTCAGGCGCTGAGTTCACGGTACAGCTGTTCACTCCATTCTAATTTGTGTGCCGGTCAATATGATCGTAGACTGAAAAAAGGAGCCTTTTGCTATCACAGTCTTCAGGGCGTTCATTCTAGTCCGGTGCAATCGGTGACGCTTGGGTTGGGCCATTTTCTTGGGATGAGCCGGTGATCCTCCGTAGGTTATGATTGCTTGGTCAGTGCTTCGTGTGCCACTAGACCGACCCCTCCGAAGAGCCCTTTGACGGCTTTGCGCAGGCCATGTCTTGGCAACGAGTCGTGGTAGTTGCATGTGGCACAGTTAGCTGAATTCTGACTGTCTGGTGGCCCAAGACAGGACTCGTGAAAGTCCAGAGGCTTTGAAAGATATGAATCCCAACTACTTATCCAATGGTTGCTTCCGTCCAAACCATTGCTTTGATGCGTATCATCATCGTAAAAGACAGCAGATGGCTCAGTGGTTAGAGCGCGAAATTACTGACCGGGTGGTTCGAACTTGACCTCCATCCTTCAACTCTTCCTGCCTAGGCTTCGGCAATCCGGCGGTATCCTAGCCCTCATGCTTCCTTTGGGTGACATGGCAGCTAGGCACCGAAAGGATGTTACAAATTTTTTTATTTTGATGTTTCACTGCCGCACAACCACAATGTTTATTTAATTATATTTAAAGCTTTGAATTGTAAATAAGAGAAAAAGGGTGGGTGAGGGAGGGGACTTAATGCTGGCCTGTGTGAAGTGTTCAATCAGACAATCTGGAAAGGAACTGACAGCACGAACGCCACTGACATCGATTAGCCGCCATTTTTTGCAACGTTTCCAGCCAAGCACAAACGGGGTCAAGCGGACTCCAACCTGGGAGGCGTACAACACCAACAACACCCAAACTCTTCGTGATCTCTTTCATGCCTTTCTGTCCAGTCATGCGTTGTCCACCTTTCGGTTTGCGCCATTCTAAAGGAGGCACAGAACAACACTTTTTGGTAGACGGTGTTTCGGCATGCGTAGCACATGGCCGAGCTACCGTAGTCGGTGGTGCTGGATGTTTTCCCAGATTGAATTACCTGCAGCACACCCAAATACCCGTCTTCTAATCACCTCGTTACTTACACGCTGGCGCCACCCAAAACCAGCCACGCTTCTGGGTCATCGATGGTCAATAACCTGAAGACGCCTCACATCATCTGTCCGCAGAGGCCACGTCTAGCACTCATACAACAACACAACTTACTGTGGCCTGGTACACGCGACCCTTGAGGTCTAGTGATATGCCTTTTGATTCCACAAGTGACGCAACTTAGCCAGCGTGATTCGAGCCTTTGAGATATTCGCACTGATTTCATTAGACACATTTCCGTCAGAGCTAATGCAACTGCCGAAGTGTATAAAATTTTTCACGACCTCCAATGATTCTCCTAGGATTGTAAGGGCTATGTTCGCAGATGGCACGTTCTGAAGCATGGCTTTGTACTTTGGAAGTGCCAGGCGCATGCCAAAAGATGGTATGATGGTGGTCAGCCTATTCAACGGGGTTTATGCTTCGCTTTGGCCTTCTAAGATAAGAGCAAGTCACCTGTGTACTCCAGATCGACCGGGTTCTCACCAGCAACGATTTGAACTCCAGGCTTTTGGAGACCAAGTGTTCGCCTCATTATTTCATCAATGTTGAAGTTGAACAAGAATGAAGAAAGTGGACATCCTTGTCGGACCCCAGTTTGTAGTGAAGCTTTTGGAGAGCTCACCATACACCCACCCGCCCAGAAGTATGTGAATATAGGGATCAGGTCATGTTCACAAACTTCTGGGGCCTACTCTGTTGAACAAGTGAGGTAGCAGCACTGACCGATCGACAGAATCGAACTCACCCTTGGAGTCATGGAATACCGAGATTGTGTGTCGTTTGTACATGTGGCGTTGCTCTGAAACCTGACAAATTGTGAATATGTGGTCAAAACAGCCTCTACCCGGTCGAAATCCCGCTTGATTCTCACAAGTCGTGGTTTCACGTGCCACCGTAAGACGAGGAAATAGTGACACCAGAAGCCTTGTCACTACAGGCATCGAATCAACACCTCTGGTTACTACATTCACTGTTGGTACCTTTTTGAAAATGAGTTGTCTGGGACGGTCTCCCTCTCCCAGATAGACCCAAAGTGGCTAGACAGGCACTTGCTGAGGAGTCCACCGCCATCCTTGAAAAGTGAAAGCAGCATGATGACGCTTGAGTAGAGAAGTACATTCGGACACTTCTGAGACTGAAGACGGCTCCGTATTTACGGTTCACCTTTGTGAAGGTTTCTGGATTGGAGATAGCAGATGTCCAGCTGAATCGCTGTTCGAAGTACTGTGCCCAGTGGTCTAAACGTTCTGCTTTTCTGCATATCAGGGAACCATCTTGGTCTCTGGTGATTTCGCTGACAAGAGGTTTCCGAGGACCAGGTGAACGAATCAAGTGGAACAATTTGCGCACGTTTCCAGCATTCTTCGCATCTTCCATTTCTTCGGCCTTTCGGATCCACCAACCTTCTCAGTCTGCTCGGACACTCAGTTTCACCTGGCCTCAGACGATGCGACGAATGGAGTTGTGATTGTGACCAGGAGGCATCTTTCACCGGGTCTCCAGCAGAGACATGGTTCTATCAGAGATCCAATGTTTGGATGAGGTTGACTGGGTTGTATCACAAACAGACGTTCCGGCTTTGGGTAGTGCTTTAGATATCTTTTCCCAGTGGTCATTTATATCCAACATCTTAACCTCCTGCAGGCGTTCAAGTATCTTGTTCTCATAAGTTCGTTTGACTTCTGGGTTGACTAGCTTCTCAGTGACCAGGCGGTACGTGCGTGTTTTGCGTACACCTGAAATGCGCACTGAATAGCAGCAGCGTACAAGTGCATGGTCGGAGTCTACGCTGGTGTTCCAGAAGGAGCGGCAGGCGGTGATCGACCCTCGCCACCGATAACTGACGACGATGTGGTCTATTTGAATTCGAGGCTGGTTTGTTTATAGACACCACCTTGTCAAGCTATTTCCACTGTTCCGGAAATTCGTACTGCAAGCGAACAGTCTGTGATAGGCGCAGATCTGAAGTGAATGATCACCGTTGTCTGTCCGTCTAGTGTCCAAACCAAGACGACCACCCAATCGGGCCCCAGCAGCACTTAGTCTGCCTACCTGGGCGTTCATGTCACCAGCGACCGCAACGATATCTGAGCTTTTAGCCTGCTGTGGAAGGTCACCTAGAGTGTCGTAGAAACTGTCCTTGGAAGATTCAGAGCTACAGTCAGTTGGGGCGTAAGCAGACACAATAAACAAGGTGCGATGATCTTCACTTCCTCTAGATTCTCTCACAGATGTTGCCAAACGAACTGCACAGAGGCGACTATCAACGGGTGTGCCGTAAAGCAGAGACGCTTCTGCTCAGCCGCTCAATACAGTACCCACCCCCAGCATATCCAGTCGCAGTGGCCTCTGCATCACCAGATGTGCGCAGCAGGCACCTGGGAGAGACCAAGGGGGCGTTTAGTTTGATCACTGTACTTGCGTCCTGCATCCTTGTTTCTGACAAAAACGACATACATCAATGCTGAGGGAATCCAGCGTACGAGCAGTAGTCACCTGTTGGCCTGCTTGCTTCCGTGTGCGAACATTAAAGGCGGCTAAGTAGACAGGCTTTCGGGGTTTGAGAACAGACTTCGAGATGTTTAGGGTTGTAACTGAACTCTGACGTTCAGAAGCTGCAGTTAAGTGTGATGCAGGGCGAACAAAACAGTCAATCCTAAAGCTGGAACTTGCGGAGAAAGAATTCAAATTTGGGTGGGGGTGGGGGTGGAAGACGGCTGATGGCCCCACGAGACCGCCGATGTGGTATGGGAGTATTGTTAGCTGTAAATGTCATGGTTGTACAAGGGTTGGGGTGCTGCCAGGGAGCCCACACCTAGACGGTAGGACGATTAGGGCCCTCAACCGAAGCTTTTGGCTCAAAAGCCTAACCACAAGGCAGCGGTGTTTTGCTGGAAATACAAGTATATTATAGTTTTTACAGAACACGTCGCCACACATGTCCTAACCCCCAACCTGGAAGGCCACGAGACTGTGTTCGTCAGAACTCTACCCATTGACGAACGTGGTGTGAGAGACTTTGACTGCTCACAGATACCCCCCTCAGTATAGTTCAGTGAGTCGCCGAGGTACATTAACCCCCACACCACGGTAAGGTCCGGTCTCTTTGTACGTTTCAGTATTACCAGTACCCAAATTATCAGTGAACAAAATGGTTATCGACGTGCAGGTCTTACATTTAGTGTAAGAAGCTACAAAGTCTACTCCGGTTTGTTGGTGACTGACTGGTAGTCCATGACGTCTTTTTGTTCCTTGGTTGTTTGCTAACTGTTATCTTGCTTTTGAACATACTGTGGCGATAATTTGCACAAAACATTTTGATTCACCTCTCGTCTTGATCTATTCGCCTAGCACTGATTCTGAATGTCCGTTTGAGCTGGCGGGGATGCAGGTGATTAGACTTCGCTGCTGTGCTTGTCCATCTCGAGATTTACGGGGAGGTGATCAGATGCACATCCCCCTTCAGGCTTCCGCCTCTTCTCCCTTGACAAATGGTTCTCTTTCATCTGATCGGCGTCGAAGCGGTGGTCGAAAACTATCATTGAACGCACCGTTGGGTAGTAATGCTGGACCAGTAAGCTTGACACTATAACTTTGAGAACCTCGTTTTGTGTTTGCTCTTTTTTGATGTTTCCACAGCAATTTAGTGATTGCGGGCACTGAAAATCGTGACCCAGTCTACCACCTTGTCACAACACTTTTCCACAGAATGAGGAAAGTAATATGTCACTTATCAGTCTTAGTTACCAAACGGGGAGCTGTCCCACGGCCTGCAGTCTGCACAAGTTCACCTAAGGGTCAATAACGGTTTATATGGCTGTTGTTTTTGTTCTTCGGAAAGAAGAGGCGTCAATGTCGACAGTAACTTGAGCTGTGATAGGTTTTCAGTTGCTTGGCTCTAGTTCTGGGTGTTCCGTGGGACGAGAGATGATGATTTGAAACTGATTCAGTGTTCCTCTAGTAGATCTTGGTTTGCATTTTCATTGAATCAAACGCATATGATCTGGAGCTCCGATAAGGCAGCCGAGACATGTATATGTATCTTCAGCTTTTGTTGACTTACAGAAGATATAAGCCGGTAGATTTGCTTTACTTGTGGTAAACCGTTTTGCGATAACTGCAAAGGAACCACAGCGCAATTTCCTTGGCTGCTGCTTGTAGGAGCGACTCCTATTGTAAACGTTTCCAGAGTAGAGTACGAAGACAGTTTCCTTTCATTGAGTTTACCTGTTTGAAGCTTTTCCATGGTGAAAAGAGCACTGTATTGATGACTGATTGAAAGCCACTTGAGTCGTGTTGCATTTGAGTACCGGTTGTGCACGTTCCATGAATGAGCTGCATTTGACCCAACCACATAGAGGTCCGCGCAACGAACTGTTTCCGACCGAGCCCGGCACAGTTAATCAAGCGGTGGACCAAGTTGCAATCCTGTCTTTTCGTCTACGGAATATGGTATGATTCAAACTGAACACTACATGTGTGCGGAGTAGTTCTTTCAGAATGGAAAGTTGAGTGGCTTTCATTCTTCATTTTTCCAGCTGACTTTCTTAATGTATATTCGATGACTCTTCATGCCACTCTGTCGCGAAGACAGTGGGTCTTACCGTGTTGTATGGGTTTGTGCATCAAGGCGAACCATTGAAATATACTTGAGCTTGTGTGACAGTTTCGTGTCAGGTTGGTTAGTGGTTCGCTACCAGTTTAACACACTCTCCTGGCCCTTCATCCACTGTGGTATTTGGAAGACTTTTGTCATGTTCTCTAAAAGTTGCACCACTCTAATGGTTCCACACCGACCACTGCTGCCTGGCTATCAAGCTTTTGAGTCAACGGCTGACGATCTCAGTTCGCACATATGACATCTAAGCTCATCAGAGGCGCGACCTTGTGGCCGGTTCAGTTTGAATTTAAGACGAGGTGACAATGACGGTCGTCTTTTGCAGCTTTATGCCGGTCACCAGATTTTGCCCAATAATATTGGATTCGGACGCAGTGGATGGAGTTGCGTTGTCTAGCGTCCCCATACCCATGGATAACGATGGAGCAGGATTGACCGCGAAGACATTACCACTAGACGGCAAAGCTCTGTTCTTCACTGACGATATTCCTGATACTTCCTTGTCGATTCAGATCATGTTCTTGTCATGTGTAGATTTTCTGTGAGTTCCTGGAGGAGGATGGGTAATACTTCCCATTTTATCCGTTGGAATACTGTTTATCGAACAAATCATCGTAATACTTCTTTATCCGTTGGAATACTGTTTATCGAACAAATCATCCTAGCCTATACGAAGCGTTAGAAGCCTCATCCTCAGAAGAAGCCAGCCGCAACTGAGTGATTCAGATCCGCCACTCGTACGGTGGGGAACTTAATATGTGGTTTTTGGGGAGACCTATGAAATAAACACTGATTGTCAGAGCGATAACTGTTTCAGGTCAGTCGTGTCTACTTTGCAAGAGATTGCGTATCTGGGTGTTCGATTCACATTCGGAGAAGACAGACTTCCGTGAAAGAAAATGAGAAATGGTGCTTTGTTTTGGTACGCAATCTGCACCCGAAAGCACAGAGTCTTACTTCAGGAGTTCCCACTCCCAGACAGTCCTTCGAAACTTTAGTTTGTTGATAGATCCACTTGTTTAAACGATGACTTCCTTCCTGTGGCATGGGGCGAGATAGCTTATGTGATTAGAACGCGAATTTACCGGCCGGAAAGTCCGTGGTTCGAACCCGACCTCCGCATCTCAACTTCCTCTGTCTAGGTTTGGGCAACCTGACAGTATCCCAGCCCTCTTGCTTCCTTCGGGTGACATAGCAGCTAGGCACCGAAAGGATGTTACAGCTGAAAGATTTTACAACTATTTTTTCCCTTTTTTCATATTTTACAAGAGCCTTCTTCTGGTGTGTTCTTATGGCAGGTGACCACCACTTTTCAGTAATAAGGTCGTTTTGCTCTTGGTTCACATTGGCGTATTTTATCGTTGAAACATCACTGTTGCAATTCAGCTGACCGGAGCAATTTATCTAGACGAGCGAAGAAGTTAGCCTCCTGGGCCAAGTATGTTCGCCTGACCAACTAGATGGTGCGTCGTACACTAGTGTCATTTTGCGAAGTTTCGTATCCACTGAAAACCCGTCTGCTAACTTTTTATTTGCTTATTATCCTGTACTTTTCAGAGCACGTTAACTGTAGATGCTTTATGGACACTGAACCCCTTGGCCTCTCCAGCGATCAATGTCAACGGGAGCGACTACTTTTTCATCCTTGTTAGTTCGGCCTCGTGTTTTGCTTATCGCCTATTGTTGTCTTGTTGCCATATGTGTTTCTGGGAATTATACCTTTACCGAAGGCCTTTTCGATCTAATGTCAAGTGGAGAACAGCTGAAGAGTACTCAGCATTGGGAATCATGAGGTTTACTGTTAACATGGCATAAGGTGGATATGATTTCACCATGACTCAATTCCAACACAACCGATTTCGGGACGGTTTTCTCAACAAGATGGACCAAGTGGTCTACTGACCGAAAGGTCCGTGGTTCGAACCCGACCTCTGCCTCTCGACTTCCTCTGTCTAGGCTTGGGCAACCTGGCAGTATCTCAGTCCTCGTGCCTCCTTCGTGTGGCATGGCAGCTAGGCACCGAAAGGGTGCTATAGCTGAACGATTTTTTTCTTCAGAACAACTAGTTGTATGGGACGTGCTGTTCATCGCCTATTCCGAAACAGCTCTATTTGTGCAGCTTGTGATGCTTCAACTTACTGGTAGCGTATTTAATACAAGTGTTGAGTTCTGTACACCACACATCAATGTCGATGTGGAAACTAAAACGTTGTCCCGCCTGTTTCAGAGTGCAAGCGTTAGAGTCAGGCAGATTGACCGGCGGTCCAGGTTCATAGGTTGGTTTAGAGATAGTTGAGACTGTCTGCGCCCACTTATCCGATACATTGCTGCCCAAACCGATGCAACCTGAACCGGTTCATCAGTCCTAACGGGAGAATCCAGAAGAGGAGAGTTATTAATGGAATGGTGGGGGGAGAGGGTAGAAAGTGTGTGAAAGAAGGGGAAGAGGTGTCAGCAGTAGTCCGTTTTCCCTCATCCGCCCTGCCGTATGCAGCAAATAAGGCAATGGCCGATGTGGCATAAAAGTATTGTTACTTCTAGATATGTGGCCTGGGATACTTCCAGAACGCCCAGGCACACGCAGGAGGACGGCTAGCTCATAATTTGGAAACAATTACCGAAATGTGTGAAAACGGTAACTAAATACCAGCACATAGATTGCGTTTAGGTTCCTCTTAAGCAGGCTTATGATGATATGACTCAGTGGCGATTAGACCGGTTCGGTAGGAAAAGTCTCTGCAACCTTAAAACGTACATGATCTATCAAAGGCTGTTTTATGTACAGCACTTGTTGAGTCACGGTTTGCTTGGCCAGCTACCTTGGAATTAAGCATATCAAAATTGGCCTGCTGCCGGAAGTTTCACGTGAATTTCGCTTGTACTCTTTTTCTTATCGACTATGCAGTGCATACCATCAAGGATGTATTTTCCTTGCGGTAATGTTCCCACGATGTTGATGTATTTTCTTTGATGTTACACCTGGTATATTCGACCGTCTGTTGTTTTGCTGAAGACCGTAGCAACCGGTCCGTCTACCTCTGTTCACTCGCTACCGAACGCATTGTATCAATTGCAATTCGTCGTAAACGGTGTTTTTTGTAGATCCTTCCGTGATGTGGCTACAACTCACAGGGTCACTGTTTCTGGTACATGTTTCAGGTTCCCAATCACCAGCAATGGAGACAGCTCCGAATGTTGCGTAATTGTTGGCTTTCCAGCATTGATAACTCCGGGCCAGGCAGAATAAGGCGAATTTGTAGAACGTACGACCGGTTGGAGCTGAAAATAGCCGAGAGGTAAGCGGACGTGTTAGAGTTGCTGACAGCCTGATTGCTCTGATTTCCGTTTTTTCACCTGCCGTTTGCCTTCCCTGATGGGCACTAGCTGTTGTCGTCGAACTTCATCCACTCCGAATCGAAACCACTTTAAAGATTGAATTGCTACTGCTTTTTTACATTCGTTGGCTCTCCTTTTATTTTCGATCGATTTGTGAGGTCCTACAAGCAATCTCTGGATTATAGGTGTTCACCAGAAGATACCGTATTTCGAATTGCGATCACTAGCTTCAAGCGGTCCGTGTTGTGCTATAACATGTGCCTCAGTTTCTCAAGGTTGGAAGAAATGAAGGCCTTAGTCGAAAAACGTTGCGTGTTACGGACTTGTCAGAAGCATTTTTGTTCTTGATGATACCAGAAATGGATTTCACTCTATAAATCAAGTCAACCTATACTGACCGAACTATACGGTCACCTCCGGTGTGCCTGGCCGCATTTCACTTTCTCTTGTCTGGTGTCCGAAATCGTAGCAGCTGTAACCGATTTACCTTTGGTGCTTAGTTTGGGGCCTATAAGCTGAGTTGAATTGAACTGGGCCTGTACTGTTTTCTCCTTGTTCCGTCTGCATGTCACCAATCCTTAGAGAAGCTCGAACTTGAAAAGTCCGAATGTGTTAGCTCTGCCGAGCCCGCAGTGATAAAAAAGAACGAACCATCGTTACTGAGCAGTATCTCTCCACCAGATTGATGGCATTCGATGTGTAGGATGGAAAAGTCCTCGAGCTTGAATACAGTTCTTATCAATTGTGTTGGAATGTAACAGATGGATCCCAACTAGATGCAGTCGGATCTAGTTTCTGTTCGTTATTACTGCCCCTAGTCAGTTTATATTCTTTCATTGGCTATTTGTTCAGTCGTTTACTAAGCTCAATGATGGTTATCAAAGCGGACGCTAGTCAATGACCCTCTCCCTTGATTGCACTGTGGTTGTTCGGCATCGCTCCCGTATTCGCTCTTACGTAGGTCCCCAAGGAGGTTCAAAGTATGTACACTGACCTACCACACTGCGTTTACGCGTTTGTGACGGTCCACAACATACAATGTGTTTTAGTAACGCGTCTTACCAGTTTTTCGTTATTCGTGGGCTTCAAATTTTTTTGGTTTCTCAGACTAGCATGGGTATGGTGTTCAGGGATCCTAGTACCTGCAGTTCTGCTATGTTATTGACCAATTTTCTTTGAATCAGCTGATTGTTGACTGTGTTTAATGTGCGAGTTGAAATTGCTACCTTTTGTTCCTAATTTCTGTGTTTTAACTAAAGTTTTCACACTTCGCGCTCAGCCTGTGGTGCAAAGTGGTCGCTCTGGTTTGTGTCACACGGAATAAAAGACCGTCATGGCATTTGAGCGACCGTTTACCGAGTCGTCTACGGATCATAACGAGGCGCACTCTGACCCGAATATGGACTAATCAAATTCGTCGTGCCTCCATCTTCGTTGCGAATATATACATATATCGTTCAGCTATAGCACCCTTTCGGTGCCTAACTGCCATGCCACCCAAATGAAGCACGAGGGTTAGGATACTTCCAGGTTGCCCAAGCCTAGACAGGGGAAGTCGAGAGGCAGAGGTCGGATTCGAACCACGGACCTTCCGGTCAGTAAATTCGCCCTCTAACAACTTGAGCCATCTCGCCCCCCTCCTACGCACCTGTGATCCTGTAGAGAATGTATTAGTACAGCTGCAGTAGCACTGAGCTGTTCGCGATAGCGGAAAATCAGACCAACGATTGGTATAGAAGTTGCATACCAATGTTCAAGGCTTTCCATAGTCGATATTGCTTGAAAATTGCTGTGTAATGCAACCTCTTCATCATCAGAGCTAACGGGACCGGCTGGATGCGATCACTACGGAACTCTGGCCGCTGTAGAATGTGTTAAGACCACGACTAATTTTGGACAGAACCTATCGCAATTTAGCGTTCATATCTCCCTTTTAACGCTGGTAAAACATCAATCTTTCAGCTGTAGTACCGTTTCGGCGCCTAGCTGTCATGTTACCCGAAGACATCACGAGGACTGGGATATTGTCAAATTGCTCAAACTTAGACAGAAGCAATCGAGATGCCGAAGTTAGATTCGAACCCACCAGTAAGTGCGCTGAGCGTTCTCGAGCTCTGACGTGATTGATGGAAGAGTGCTTCTGGTAGTCTAAGACCGCATGCGGAAGCAAGTATGTATTCACTGTTGAATCCATGAGGGTCGAGATATTCTCCAATTCTCACCTGCATCGAGTCGATCAGAAGCGGTCCATGTAGACATGTTTCGCCGTACATTTTCAACGTTCGGTCACATGATACCACCATGTGGTCGAACCACAAAATTATCATCCGGACGATTTAAACGATCGTCTGTGGTGAAATAAGTCCCTACGAGTTGTGCGAACGATGGTAGCGACGGGTTTTTCGGTACTATGGCAATGTTCACAGGCCTTTAGCTACAGACTAAAACGCGATAGCTCGATTGCGTAGATCCACGGAGTCATCTCCATCAATGCATTCAACAGTTGCTTTGGCTCCCAGAATTTATGCATCACTTGGCCCTCAGCTCGATTGGTAGATCCACGGAGTCATCTCCATCAATGCATTCAACAGTTGCTTTGGCTCCCAGAATTTATGCATCACTTGGCCCTCTTGTTCTCTTGGTACTGATGTGGTCGAGTGGCACCTATTAGTCCGTTACAGTGGCCCGCAGTTTGCATAGCCTCCGTTAGTGCACAACTAAGGTGGTGATTCTGCCATGCCACCCGAAGGTTGCACGAGGACTGGGATACTGCCAGGTTGCCCAAGCCTAGACAGAGGCAGAGATTGGGTTCGAACCACGGGTCTTCCGGTCAGTAAGCTCGCGCTCTAATCACTTGAGCCATCTCGCGCCCTTTTTGGTGATTCAACTAGAAAACACTTGTGAGAACTCAACTTTTTCTCCCGGTTTCTCAATCTTTTCTTCGGCGCACTTGAGTCCCAAAGTCCGTGCTCCTTTTTCTTGTCTTTCCCTTTCCAGACTTCGACAAGATCCCATCACGTGCTCGCAAGGCAGCAGTACTCCCCCAGAATCTTCGCAGTGTGATAAGGTGAGTCTCCACATCTGTTTTGAGTCTCGAATAGAGTATATCATTTGACATCACTATGGAACGACAATGAATTCCTCACAGTAAGTAGCACAGTCCAGCGCGATATCAGCTGATTAACTTGTAGCTGATACAGACTCATGGATAGTTCCGAGAAGATGTCCTTACACCGTTCTCAGTGAATTGTACTGTTTTGGTATAGTACAATATCCCACCTAGGTTAGATGAGTGGAAAGCATTTAGGATAAACACGAGGTTCAGATGACTGGCTTCGTGGATGTTGGAATCCAGGGCATTAGTTCGCCAGTGCTGATCACTAGACCGAGCCCATGTAGCCCTAAGGACTGAGGACTAGGACGCAACAATGTCACTCTCCGTATGAACCCAACAGAATGGCTTTAGGGGTCCATGGAAGTCCCAGTCAATCTTCTGGAGCTTCCCTGCTTATGCTGACCTTCTCTCTTCACTTCGAAGCAATATGCCATTGGTTGAAGAGGCCGGTCGAAAATGTTCGCACCGCGTGGGAAAACGGTGCAGAGAGTGTCTTCATATGGGTCTTGGATTAAAACGCATTTCACGTTATTTCAATTCTAGAGCAGGAAGATGATAAACGGTTATGTAGGGCGAGTTGGGCTCTCAAGATTGTTGTAACATGACACTTCGGGGGAGTTTTGTTTTATGTGTGTTATTGTTGGAAACCAGCTTCCGGTTTTGTTTTACTAGCTTGTAAGCTATTCTGTCACCAATGTGAGTTCTGCTGGATTCAAATGTGGAGGGCATTGTAAACCACGTTTTACACTTTGAAATGGACTCAAACCAAGAAGAGTACGATTCACGAGCTGGAGGTTGCTCACTGGTAATGGAGTCACTAAACTGACCGGAGGTCCATGGTTTGAATCCAGTCTCGGCATCTTGACTACTCATGTGTTGGGTTTGGGTGACCTGGCAGTATCTCAGGCCTCGTTCTTCCTTCAGATAGCGTGGCAGTCAGGCATGGAAAGGGCTTTAAAGATGAATGTTCAAGTGGTTGTTGGTGTGCTTGCGGACCTCTGGAATTATTGCGAAAGTTTTTCATCAGCAATCGAGGAGTCCCCATCACCGCTCATTGGTTATGTCCCTTCAACTGGTGACAAAACGTTTCCAAGCTAATGGGAAGACTCGGCGCGTCGAATAACAGCAACCTGATCAACAAACACAACTGACCTACGAATATTTTCACAGTTAGTTTTACCCGTGGTTTCGAGACCAATTAGAATAGTAAAGTTAGCTTAGCTGTTCCCAGAATGCACAAGCTACTTTCCCGGTACACTGTGATCGTTGTACATTGGGATCTCCGCTCGGTTCCCACATTTTCTACGTTTTTATGGAAGTACCTTCAGACATGCATCCAGGACTTAGAGCCTTACGGCCGAGATGGCTCAGTGCTTAAGGCGCAAATTTGCTGACCGGAAGGTTCGTAGTTCGAACCCAACCTCAGCATCTCGTCTGCTCCTTTCTATCCGAGACGAGATGACTCTCATCAGAGCGCATATTTACTGACTGGAAGGTCCGATGACTCTCGTCAGAGCGCAAATTTACTGACTGTAAGGTCCGTGGTTCGAACCCGGCCTCTTCATCTTGACTTCTTCTATCTAGGCTTGGGTAACTTGGCAGCATCCCGGTCCTCGTGCAACCTGCGGGTGGCATGTCAACCAGACACCGAAAGTGTTACAGTTGAACGGCTATTGTTTTTATTCCAGCCGATACCTCGAGGATGTATTTCTTGCAACTGATTAAAAATCTAAGCCGTATCAGTGACCAAACAGCTTCAGTCGTGCCCGTCCTCATATTTCATTTACGATAAAAAAGGAAGGGGAATGGGAACTTTCCGTTCTTGAACGTACACGTAAGTTTTCCATCAAGTGGATCAGTGCAACACGGCCTATATTAGTGGCAAAGAAGGGCAATTTTTCTGGCTTATCTTTCGAACGAGATACATCTACCAATTATAGTACAGAAAATGAATAGCGTGGCATAAACTGCCTATTTGCTTTCTATATTTCCAAATCTCTTTTGTCGTTATCCTGGATAACAAGAACAGGCTATCGGTTTCGACCTCATCCGTGACAAGCATTTCATTCGGAGGTTGCTGTGACACTGTGTCTGTAGAAAGACCTGTCAGCCCTCTAGCAGTCTCAGTCAGTTGACAAAGAACACAATGGGGGTCGTGATGAACGCGAGTCTGTGATGCCCAGCTTATCAATCCGAAAGGTCTGTGTTCGAGATGCACCCTATCCCTATCAATCGCTCCCGTCTTTTTCGACGTGATCAAATAAGTCCACTGACCACTTCACCAGTTCGATTGACAACGATGCACTGGTTATGTCACTCCGATGGCCGATGGAACCTTAGCAGTCAGTTTGCCAAACCCAGCGGACAAATTAACGGCCATGGTTTACGAGAAGGTGACGAGTCTGCAGGACCCCGCCATTGAATGGTTTGATTTCATCACAGTACAGATTCGGTGTAGCCTTCCCGTAGATTGAGATCTCAGAAGGACTGCTCTCCCAAGGCGATTCCCTATGGTTGAGAAGTCTAGCCTCAAGATGCGCATCATGAAACCTGTCCAATTTCAGCTACAGAGTGTGCGGAGCGGCGAGTATGTTTGAGCAGCATTTCATAGCGTTTAATGTTACTTTTCTCAATACGTTTTCTTAGGAAAAATTTCAGATGAACATGTTTAGCGTTTCTTCAATTGGGAAAGCACTTTCGACAGACCCGAAAATTTATTTTCAACGAGAGCACTTGCTCTTTGGCTGTGATATATGATGGGGGCCTTGTCGCACGGGGTCTACATCGGCCCAGTTCGGCCGTGTCTGAGTGCTTTGAACTGCTTGCAGGCGTATGCAAATGGGTTAGTTCGTCTAATTCGGAGTAGAAACGCCAGATGTTGGGTTGCCCCAATGCAACACTAGTTCTTGTCACCTAGGTCATTAGGAACACTTTATTTTTGAACGAAAGAAAGAAAGCGTTCAGCTGTAGCTCCCTTCCGGTGCCTAGCTGCCATACCACCCGAAGAAAGCACGAGGGCTGGGATACTGCCAGGTTGCCCAAGCCTAGACAGGGAACGTTTAGAGGCGGAGGTCGGATTCGAACCACGGACCTTCCGGTCAGTAAATTCGCGCTCTAAACCACTTGGGCATCTCGCCCAAACTTGAACAAAACTAGATGACTAGAGAAAGGTCCTTATCTAGATATCCATAACTGTCGAGCTTTTGTGCATCCCATGTTTCGGCTCAGTAACTTTCTGTTGATGTGTGTTATATCTGCTGATTCGCCGGTCTGTGGTATCTGCTGCTGACCGACTCCAGTGCATAGTGTCGGAGAGAAAAAGACTCACGGAAGGGAACACAATAGCTATATTCCAAAAAGGTGGTTGCGAGAGCGCGAGTGCGTGCGAGTGCGAAAAGTACAACGGCCTCAAGCTTTTTATTGGAAGGACACTGTCTGAACTTGGTCCAATGCTGACGCACGCGGTCTGGCTTTAGTACGAGGCAGCGACGTGCTGCATATTGCGGAGGCGTTGTCTGTCCTTGATCAACGCTGACTCGCGCTGTCTGGGTTTGATGCAAGGCTGTGACGCGCTGCATATTGAGGAGGCGTTGTCTGTCTGGTCAACACCCAGCGGAGCTGAGAGTCTCCGTAGATTTCGGGCATTCAGTGGTTGCTTTCATGAAGCTGACCTTCCTGATAATGTGGCGCAAATTGCTTCAGTAGCCGAAGTATACTAACACATTAAGTGGATGTTGACGGACTAATCTGCTGAATCTCTTGTTTATGAAATTCCTCACCTGCATGTAGTGTACGAAAACTGTCTCATGTGTGTTTGCTGAGAACTATTCGACACCCCTAGACGGCTTTCGCCCTTCTTGGGGATCATCAAGTGGGCGCAGTCCCAGAGTTTCCGTCAACGTTGTGCTCTAATTGAACACCAACTTGTATGTGTTTGGCGAAATACAGAGTTTCTCGAACAAGATGGAAACTCGGGGACTGTGCCTAATTGATGTGCCCAAAGAGGGGTGAAACTGGTCGTGGCCTGTTGAATGGTTTTCAGAGAGAAGCATTTATGATATCAGTCTTTTAACGCAATGTTTGACTGATAAATGCAGATAAACGACTCGGCCTATTTCCACTATAATGTTTTGAGGTTGTCGGAATGGGGAATAATCCACCGTCCGATCAGGGAGGGTTGCTGTGATAGTGGAGATAACTACCTCAGTACTTTTGATGATAACCGTGTGTGAGCAGTTAGGGTGTAACCATTTCACTGGGCAACTTAGCGTAATTCTGGCTGACGTTGGCCGTGTTTACTTCGGTCATCATTCTACACACACTCAGGTGATCTATTCTGGGGGCTAGCTTGTGATTGACATATGCTATGAAGTACCAACTAGAAGCAATCCCCTGTGGGGTGGGGTCATTCTCCCAGTGGAAGCATATCGGTTTTCCTGCTTCCATATTGTCACCTTTTTTGGCGCGGTTCGACAACATGCTTTTTCACGTTTTTGCTTGCAGGCCACAGAAACGGACCAAAGTTTATGGACGACTGAGTTCAAACCTCTTCTGTGACCGATCCTCACCCGGTGCATTTGTATTTGCTCAAGATAGATTTTTCTTGCTTATTCTCCTACGTTGGCGCCCCTTATTTTTGATATAAAAATATTCTGATTCGTTTTGACTTGGATTGCTACACCCCCATGCATTGTCGAGGGAGGAGTGGAATTGATCGCTGGTTGCTCACTTTGGGCAATTAGGTCGTGATGCAAGCTCTGGTGGAAGCTACACGATCCGTGGGAGTCCTAACGGGTGAAGAACAGTTTTCGGTTTCTTCTGTTTGTCGCCTCTAATTTGGACGGACAGTCAACACTTCTATAAGTAGAGTCCAGTAGCTTCCTGATAAGTTGAAAACGCTTATTTCAATTCACCGCCGACGTAATTGTCAGCTGGTATTTGCGATGCTCTTTTGTGTTTGGTGTGATGCTTGTGAGCAACTGTAGTCTCCACATTAATTCTACTGTAGCAGCTGGGAACAATTTGCCTATGGTACGCGGTTTATAGCTGATAGACTGACTGATTTCGCTTCGGAAGACCTCGACGCCCTTTCGCGATCCTTCCGCAACGGCTTCTTTTAGAGCTTACTGGCTACGTGTATCCTTGGTCACCCCGAAATTTTAACTCTGGATATCAGAAATGCGAGGCGAGCATTTTACCACTATGGCACCTGAACTACCACATCTGAACAGGCGTACGTGTTCGCACTTGTTGAGCGGTGATGCGTTTACCCGATGCCTTGTACGGTAGCCCAACACCTGTCCTGCTTCTGTCGGAGTCGGGCACTTGAAGCCTGCTGGGCAATTTCCCAATATTTTCAGCAAGACTGTTCTCAATGACAATTTTGGACAACAGCGCCCGTTGACCTGTCGCTACAGCCTACACAGTGACAGTTTTTAAATTCATCTTTATGTCAAACTACTTCGGACTATTACATTGTTGGGGTCCATCCCGGAGAGACTGGACATCATTTGTGTCCACGGGCTCGGTGTCCGCGTGACAATCGCAGTTTCCACCGTTGACCAACACACTCCTGATCCTTCAGGTTGACGGTTGAGACATGTGGCTACCTGTTCTTTGGAAATGGCAATTCACTGACGTTTCTCACCAACTACCGCTGGCTTGCGGTCAGGATTCCGAAGCAAAGGCTTCGCTCGAGGATCCAGTGGTTCTTCTACCTAAGCTTGAGTGTCCCAGCAATAGCTCAACTCAATTGCAAGTTTACAAGTAAGAACACTGCCACAGCAAATCTGCCGTCACGTGGTATCATCAGTCGGGGCTTGCTACGTAGATCAGGGTGGGCAAGTGAAAACAGACATCTCGAAATCAATCTTCGAGTCCAACGCCAGGCTCATCTCGTCGGTCCACCTGCTCACTAGTGTGTTTGGTTGGAGACGCCGTAAGTTGTGACTGCCAACTTATGCCCTTTTTGCCGGTTTCTTCCGAGACCGAATAACTGTCCGGGAGTGTAGCTGCCTCCGAATGACTGTTTCAAGCCAGTATTAAGTCCCTTCCTCGTCTGCTTCTATTCTTTCCTCCATATCAGGCTTTCAGATAAATTATGTTTATGTGACACCGAACACTGTGTTGTTGAACAGTAATATTATGCTGTCCGTGATTATCGTTCAGGAACTCAACTGACAAAACTGAGGGTGAAATTTTCTTTGGATGACACTCGCACCGCGCTGCATGGCTGTTACTCTTGAACGCAGTGTAAGGCTGGCCACCTGATAGTCTATCTACAAGTTCGATTTGTGTTAGGATTATTCTAAAGTTGCCTTGTTATGGTTCCCATGGTCTCTCAGAGTGGGTACTTAAAACTCTCGTTGGAGGCAATCGGCCGACGCACTGATTGAAGTCTTTGGTGTGGGCCGTTCATTTTTTTTTACCGAAATGTCTCCCGGAACAGTTCGGTAACTAAGCTTGATGGAAAACAGAACAGGTGCTTTCAACAAAATTTTATTCCACCACCCTCAGCTTAAGCAGAACGCAGTTGGGTGTTTGATTTCTAGCATCTCTTTAATGTTACTTCGTCTCAAGGGTCTGCTAGAACTGTGCAGAACCAATCCTCGTTTGTGACCAATAGTGGATATCCAAGACGGGAAAATAGTTCGTCGAAGTCGTGGAGTCATTTCGTCAGTCCCTGTGGCAACTTACTATTGCTGACATGATTTTTTTCAATCTTATTTGAATACTTGATCTGTTTTTCAGGAAGGGGGAATTGGCAGGTTTGACCCATACATTCTTCTGCAAGCCGCTTCGGTTTTTAGACGGAGACTCACTCGGAACCCAACTAATGTTCTGAGAGTTTCCAGCAACCGTATGACTTGCGCATTATGTCCATAGACTCGGTTGCTTGTTTATAAGACTCTCCGAACGATACCTCGGTTGGTCCAGGAGATTATCCAGATAAATCGGTGTTCTTTCGAAGGATAGTCTGTGCATACCAATATCCTTTTTGAAGAATCTGTTAATGACGTACAGGACAACATTCAGTCGAAAAAACGCATACAGTCTGTTTATCTTGAACTCCGCTTCACCACTTAATTGCTGACCTTGAAGATCATGTTTCAAACGTCTCGTCATCTATAGGGGTGAAATCGTCGATTTGTAGTGCTGTGATTGTGCATAATTAGGTTGTGCTAGCCGAGAGAAGACTTGTCCCAAAAATTCGGTTGTTTAGTGTCCCAAATCATGAAAGTGGAAGGTTGCCTGGATGCTGACCAACAAGGGCACCGGTATCGCTGACCATTCAAACAGCTAATTATAACCAGACCTTGTCAAATGACCATCGGAACGTTTGAATGCACGAGCGCAGCACCGTGGATTCTGCCAGGTAGAAGCATTTTTGTTGCATTACTCCGTGCGAGGTTAAAATATGGGATCCGGGGTTCAGGATTTGTACTGGAAGTCATGGAGTTTTTACCAATGATATGTCAGCAGCTAATGAAGCTTTAGCCTTTTCGGAATAGGTGAGTGGTTGCTTGGCTGGTGACTCTGTGCCAAACTTATGTTCCACAGGTGGATTGGCCGCTCACGGGGGGAACGAAGTTTAACGCCGGCACTAGCAAATATATCTCGAATTTCATACTACTCTTTATCAACAAGTAGATAGATTTTGCCTCGCCTGGTCATAATAATAGTGTTGATTCCCAACCTGTTGATGGCACACCTTCTGGCATGGTCATATGTTTACAGTCAGAATGAAGCATAACTGGGGGATTTGCGGGTAGTGAGGATCGCGCGAAAAGAGGACAATGTCATAAAGAGTGGCGAGTAATCGACGAAATAGTAACCATAAATTTCCCAGCTTGTAGGGAACAATGGGCATTTGGTCCGATTAGTTCAATGACTTAGCCTGCTGACAAGAACCAAAGCTGTAAAATGTTGCTGGTCATGAGTGACCTTGGGCGGTTAGGTAAATGACCGGAGTCACAGCGAGTAAAAATTTAAGATGGAGATGGAATAATTCGACTTGTGGGTACATGGCAAATTTCGTCTAAAAAACACGGTGTAATCTGATAGTAGGCAGACTCACTGGTTGCAGGGAAGTCAGGTGCAAGGGGAAAATTGGATGGCGGCATGGTACTGAAGCATAGGGCCAACCGAACACCATGTACGGAATTGAACTTGTGGAAGGGGCAAGCCGAACTTGCAGCAGAAAACCAGGTCGGCCAGATTTGAGCGAAAATTCATCGTTTACGAAAGAACTCGTCCCAGTGAAGATTGATATGCAATTTGTTTGCAGTTTTGGAACGACTGGGTGAGAGGGCACGGTCGAGAGAGGGTGTGGAATGGTTGCGGTGTGCTATCATGGCAGTGTCATGCCATCGTTGGCCTGACATACTTCGTTTTCGGACGGCCCCGTAACGGACGTCACATTGGAGGTTTTTGGACGGGTGTGCAGTTTTTTGGGCAGTAGGATTTATTTTAGGCTGGCCGAGGAAACAAGGTGGATCGAAGCCGATGGGGGATCGCATGTTTTTGGTCCGTTCGGGGATCCTGTGGTTGTAGATCATAGGCCAAGTGGAGTGGATAACATTCAACCAGGTCATCCAAACCGGGCATTGCCGAAGTTCAAAGCTTGGGGAGATGAGGGGGTGGGATGAGATTAGCAGAACATGGTGAGTTCGAGGTGACATCAAATGAGATAATGTGCACTAATATACATAGAAAAGAGAACTTGAGGTCTGCCGCGATTAGGGTGATGTCAAGTGACTATATGGAATAAGATGTAGACGGATTTGTACTTAATAGACTAGCGACCAGGGGTTGGGATTGCTAACATATGATATCAAATTACAGGGGATCTAGTGAAAGCCGATATAAATGCGTTGAGTGGTGGTGTAGAAATCAGCTGCATAAGGGCGGACGGGAATTAACTTCAAAGATAACTGGTAAATCTGGTGTTTATTACATGAGTTGGGTTATACCAGGAGAGAATGTATGTGCAAGAGAAATGGTCACCAGTCCCCAAAGCACTGCCATCAGCTTTAACCTGTAAGTGGTGCATAGCAATGAAGAATCTCGTGTCAACCTCTCGGAGCGGGAGGTAGATGTATTTTTTGTTTGTTTAACAAAACGGGCTTTGGCGCGGTGTAGTCTCTGTTCTAACGAAGGCCATTACACCCATGCTCGTCGATGTAGTCCATGGGTGTTGCAGAGTATCTTCGGGTTTTCCCAGGTGTATTTTTATTTATTATTTATTCGTGATATTTCCCCAGTCTCGATGACCATGAAAAGACAGCGATTATTTACAAAGTTCAGCCTTACTCAACCTTTCTTGGATGGACAACAAGCGTTCGACTTGGGTAGTACGATAAGGGGCTCAGGCGAGTTGACTGAACCACTGACCGCCCCTTCCAGTCAACGCCGTGGGACCGTGGACCGCATTCTGCCTCTTTCAACCACTGGTGTTTTACGACTTGCCAAAATGGCCCGCTCTTCGTGCTGTCGACTGGTAGAGGGACTGACCTCATCCGGGGTTCAGTGAAATGGCTCAAGTGGTTGGAGTTGGAATAAGCTGACTGGAAAGTTCGTGGTTCGAGCCCGACCTGTGCCTCTTGGCCTCCGCTGTCTAGGCTTGGGTAACCTGACAGCATCCCAGCTCTCGTTCTCCATTCTGGAAGCATGGAAGCTGGACACCGGAATGGTGTTGCGGCTGAACGAAGTGGTTCGAATACGACAAGTGAATGCAAAGCCCCTCAAGGCGAAATAACTTCACTATGCAACATGATACATTCGCCACAACTGCGGACAGCGACCGAATCTTCCAAATTTTCACCAAAGTAGTTCCCTGACTGAGAGAGTGAAAGCCCTCTTTCGCCCCGAGGAATTTTCTACTGTAAGCCACTCTGCGCTAAGAAAAGCCCACGTCTACACAGAAGGAATATTCTGTTATGAAGACTTGTCCAAAAGTATCTGGTGTATTTTATCGCGAACGTGCCCAGGTATCAGAGGGCGGTCCCCTCGAAACAAGTTGGAAAGCTAGTAATACTGTGACGATGGTTAGTTGATCCGTGCATACACTTCCTTAGAACGAAACCAACCAGTCGAACCCGCTACGGGTTTTTTGTTACAGACGGTAATCTGGTCCAAGGGACAACAAACGCCAGTTTGATTTGAGTAGTAGAGGCTGACTGAAGCGATCGTTTAACTTTCGACCTGTCGGATGACTATTGGGCTAAGCGTGAGAAGTGAATGACATTCATTTTGTTGGCGGAACGCGCATTCCTCGGAATGTGTGTGTAATGCTTTCGTGATGAAGAGAACTTCAGTTTGACCCTGAGCTGTTGCTTCAATGGGAGGATAATGCACTCCCCATCCAGCGACTGCGGTAGGTTGCTCCAGTTGGCCAACTCATTTGTCACACTCGTGGTTTATTGAAACGGTGTAACTGCTACTTGAAGCTGAAACAATACCGGTCGTGCGTTAATCAGACGACACACTCTCACGTATTCTATTATGATACCAATTCATTCTGAGATGCTTCAATTCATGGGAACGAACAAACATATTGGGGCAGCCAGCTGAGAGATCGCGTGATTATTGAAGAGAGTGTGTTGCTAACTGTAACCCCCTATTCGTTGTGGTTTAGCCATTGAAGATGAGAAAGCGTACATATCTCTAAATCATGGTTTTCGGAAATAGGAATTTAATGCTCTGTAATGTGCTTAGCTGTTTTTTGATGCCTGTGCTTCTAGCATAATCCACGAGGTGAACTTCAGGAAAGTTGAAAAGCTTTCCTCTCCGGGCTCACTGATTTTCCTCTGTTCAGCATTGAATAACACGAACTCCTCTCTTGAACCACAGGAATCCTACACCTTGACCGGGGTTAAAAGCAAAGTAGTCGCACCGTTTGACGGGAACGTGCAACTCGATGCCACCCCTCTCTAATCACTTACATTTTGAAAAAACTCCTCCAACCCATCAGTTCAAGATTTTGGCAACCACACTAGCCGACAAGAGCTGGTAATTGACACTCAACACTGATCTAGTTTGAAGAGGACTTAATGATTGGTTCTCCGTCTGTCTTATAACCTGGCCAATTTGGTGACCTGTTCACTTGGCCTGATGAAGCTTTTGTGTCAAAACCGAAACGTCGCCCAAATAAAAACTACCGATTGTTTACCAAGCTCTTCTGAAACGATTCTCGCAAAATCCTTCATCATTGACTTGTTCATGCGGCTTGTGAATGTGAAATGTGAAATGATTCTGTGCTTTTTCAGAACGGGCAGTGCAAACAAACAGAAGAATGTTTAGTCATCCGATGAACAGATTAGTCCTATCCATTGCCCTATCATTGTTATCACGCGTTACGTGCGTAGATCGCTTCCTATTTGGGTAGCTTTTCACTGACTAATCCTCTTCATACTTCATCACTGATCATTTTTACACTCAAGTCTATGTGCACCCAGTTAAACTATCGAAACAATCTAGTTGTCATGACTACAGCACGCCCCAAACAGGGACGGAATTTTGAAAAGGTAGATAAAGCTCAATGATTAGAAAATCAATCGCCGACTGGCTGTGAAGGCGGTCACAAAAGCCACAAATATGTGGCGTGAGTGTGTGTGTGTGTGTGTGTGACCGTCTGACACATTTAAGTAGCACCCAATTATTGGTTGTTGAAAGTTTCTTCCGTCGTTTCATTGGTTATCACTCCATTTATGTACACGCGCTGTGGCAACCATTGAGTCATGCGCCATTCGACCAAAACACACACGTGACTGCGTCGTTTTTACCACATTTACATGACGGGACTCCACACTAACCCGTACAGATCTACTCACATTCGTATGATATGGAGTGTATGAATGAGACTCTTGAAGAACACACGAGTAGGTGAGTCCATCAGATTCACGAACAGCATCCACACGTTCTTTGGATTTGTTGAATTGTGTGACCACCTTAATCTCAGTCTTTGTGTTAATCCTAACACGTTTTTAATAGTCGAGACTGCGAGGAACGTCTGCATAGGACACTGACTAATTCGTGTCCTTTTGATGGACCACTTCTCCATACTGAAGCCTATTGTCCAGAATCGTTTCCCGCGTTCTCCACAGTTGTAGCTTGTATCAGTGAGATAAAAGTCTCTCTCCTCGCTCGCGTGGCTGAAAAAATGTCTTGACGAACCAGTTTCAAGGTCATCACCTATGGTAAATTGGGTCCATGGCTTGGTAGATGACATCTACCCGTTGTTCCACACTATTCGTATAAAGTGGTGAAAGAGACTACATTCAGTAGTATTCACTCTGTGCCATGGCGCTCGATGAATTAGAGTTCCAAATAGGATTGCGTGTCATATCGCGAGTTCAACCCATCCATGTCGGAAAGTCACGAGTTACTTTGTCATCCCCATCTTGGGGGTAATTTCACATATCACTGAGGCGATTCAAAATCACACTATTTCGCTTCCTTAGTGAACATGCACCTACTTCCATCTACCTTCCATCTACCTCCCATCTAACTTCCACCTACCTTCCCATCAGCATCATCATCAGCTGTAACAACCGCGTAGTTGCTATACACTGGCCATAACTGTCACAGTTTCGTTCACCAATGATTTTGGGAGGTAGGGTAGCTAGCTACGCTTTGGAGGCGGGGGTTGATATAATTGACGCGTAACATAGGGTTGTCAGTGGGCATTTAAGTGGGGAATTAGGAAGGGACTTATTCGTTGAAGGCACGTGTGTCACTGAGGGCGCGACTGGGCCATGCCTGACAATGTCTCAGACCATTGATGTGTCCCGTCTCGGGGTCCTCATCCAAGGCGATGACCAGAACAGCTAAGTTTGATCGTGATGACTTTTATACTTCGCTGTCAAGTCATTATTTGGCCGTTTCCACCCTTCATGTGGTTGTGCGAAAAGAACCCTTCGAGGGGTTTAGTCGATTGGCATAAGGAGCTCATAGCCAACCGAGGGCAACCTACGTAGTGTGATCAGTTCATCAATCGAGGGTGAGTTATTTCTTCCGATTACCATTCGACATAATTCAGCATAACTCATCCGGTGTTCCCACCAGACTCAGGCAATGCTCCGAAGACATCGATGTTCAAAACTGAAAGTCTTTTGACGCCCTCGGCGCGCAGTGGCCAGGTTTCTGACCCCTATAGTAATGTGGAGCGCACCTCAGCATTGTAAACGCGACCCTTGACGGATCAACTGATGTCATGCCTACACCGCATGTAATGCAGGTTCACAAAGGCTGCTCTGGCACACCCAATCCAGATGGAGATATCATCTATGAGACCACCGGGATTGATGCAGCTGCACAGGTAGACATACTTGTCTACCATATATGGACATTCTAATTGTCTACAAGAGGTATCTTGGTGCCTTAAGTACAGTACAAGAACAGTACGACTCCCCACTATCTCATATTACAGTTATCCTTATTACGGTGACTCACTGCTTCTCAGCTGGCTGTTTTCCTTCATTTTTCCTGGCATGGTTGCACTTTATGGAACAGAGTTCTAACCAGTTTAGTATTAGAACCTGGCCAATCGGTCGGGATGATTGCTGATAGTGATCACAAACGAATAGCGGAAAATAATTTAGGAGATTCAGCTTCGATTCTCAAAGTAACGAACTTCATTATCTGTATTGCTCGGTTGATCGGACCTGGATAGCCATGAATAATTTTCGTTGTTTATCGGATTTCCGTGCAGTCTTATTTGTTGATTGCTGACCTTGTTAGGTCTCAGAGATCAAAGATCCATGTGCCCTAATTCGGTTTTATTTAGACGGGTGTGTGTATGTAAGACAAGTGGCTGGTGCTAATCACTTACAGGATACGTAAACCCCTGACAATAACCGATAACTTACGACTAGCTAAATATCACTCAACGGGCATATCGTAGGCAATCAGAATGCTTTTCAATTATCAAAATGAACACCAGTTGTATAACTCCTCTCCAAAGAAAATCCTACCGCCGGGACTAGTCGAAACCGTGCTCTTTTTGGACGCCTTCTCTGTCTTGGCGGATGTGTCCCAGTGGTATCTCACTCAATAGCCGGAGTAGACGTAATATGATATCAGAGAAAATACGCCATGAATTTTACGGTCTTAAATCGCCAGAAATGGGAACGACACTGTCAGATTCTGAAACGAGTAGTCGAGTTGTCATCCGGCGTCCGTCTTCAATAGCCTTGATGAGTGAATTTAACGACAGGGTGTGTGCCTTTGAACCTTGTTAAATTAGAAAAAAACATACAAAGAACAAAACAGTAAGAATAGCGAACATCTTGAAAGTACACTTTTACCCGTTTGATTGACATTTCCGCGATAGATCTATCTTCACTCTGCTCTTCTGTTGAACAGTTCAGTTCGTGGTAGGTGTCTGCATAATAAGTTTTGAAAGTCATTCTGAAACAAACTGAACCCTGTGTGTAATTCAGCATGTACATTTTGAACCTGTTCACTTTAATGATATCCGCTTTCATTGAGGTTCCAGTTGGAAATTCACAATTTTGGTAGGGGTTCTATTAAGTGTTGAATAGAATAGTGTCCCAAGCCTGCTTGAACAAAGCTGCTTCCTTATCCATCAGTCGATACACTCCTCTTTAGGCAGAAGCTGTGCCAGATTTCTGTCGAAAATATCGAAGCTGTAGAATGCCGATCTTGAAGAGCACACCAGTGTAACTTGAAGGGCGTTAATGACATCAATCTTTGGTAAATGGATACTTGTCACTCCGTCACAAAGCCCTGGTTCTAAGATGCATTTGAGTAGTCTGAACTCCTTCTGAAAGCACCTCCCCTGTGAGGCAGTTCAACCCGCGTAATCCAGTCAAACCATCTGCCAACATTCAAAACTTTCCGTACATCACTCTGAGAGCACCTAGTGAATTCAAGAAAAATCAAGAAGACTCATCTAGAGAGGTGTCTAACTTCAAGTTATTTCCATCGTTACAAACATAACTTTGAATGACTTTGAATTTGAATGACTTCACGTAACTGAATATCACGTAAATGAATTGTGAATTCAGGACACTGTCCTGAACATCCGACAGGTGGGTATAGCAAACGTTCAACAATTTTTCTGTTTTTTTTTCTGGGTGGGGTGTCAGTTTTCTTAGTCTCTGACCGAAGACATACCCGAAACTCATTGAGATCGAATCACTTAGGAATTAGTTCAATATTCTTCTAAAAAAGTCTTCCAAGTGAACATTCATTTGACTGCTCTATCTTGGCTCGCCGAAAGTAATTGCTTTTTATCCGACAACAGTAGTCTCTGACTAGAAAATAGCTTCTTGAAAATTGCCTTAATATTAGGAAGAATCAGGTGATTCTATAGCTATTTCAAATAGTCCACGAATGTGTGTTGATGGGCAGCCATATTTGTTTTCGAGATTTTGTGCAGATTTTCGCTTGAACAGTAACCCGATCGATCCAATTCAAGAAAACTGATCCTGCAAGAGAGACTGAACCGACTGTGAAAAACACCGATCGACAAAAATTTTCATCATTCTTAGTCTTTGGTTCAAAACTTGAAACGCTACTCTGTCGAATAGATGGAAAATGTGAGAAAGTATACTTTACAAGATTTCATTGGAAGCGCCATAATTGTTTTCAGTTTCTCGGGGGGCTGTAGTGATCATCAATACCATCACTGACGGAGATGTGCCGTTAACACGTACTGATGCCCAAAAGCTACACAACCAGGAGAGATGAAACTCTAGATAAAGAGTTCGGTAATGAGGGAAGGGTAGAAACCTAATACGAAGAAGCCCTGTGTCCCTAAGAGAAATGACAGCAATAGGGTGCCTAGACATTTGGACGGTACTGAAATCAAACATGTGAGCATCATGTTGTAGCAACGCGCTATCAGCAGGATTAAAGCAGCGTCATTTTTGCTTACCTTGCCCGGCATAAACCCATCACACAAGGAAATTCAGTTAGACAGTCTGGCAAGCTTATGACAGTATGTGCGCGACTGGGGTCATTTGCTTACCATGTCTTGCAAGATTTTCAACGACCTACAAGCGGGAGCACATGATCTTCAGCTAGGAGGGCGCGGAGATCCAACGGCACTCAGCTTGGAAATAGTCTCTTTCGTTGACGGCCGCCCTATCATGGTCTGTCGTCAGCGAGCCTTTCGAAGACAATGGCTCGGAATAGAATGCCGCGCATAGACAATGGTTAGAAATACGTAGTACTCTTACGTACTACTTTGCTGCGAACTCACTGCAGCCAACAAACTGTCGCTGTGCTTCGGAGAGACTGGCGAACAAACCTCTGTAGACCCCTAAAGTCCTCGAGCTGGGAGAGAAAGACTGCTCTCACAGCTGTCTTGTGTATTCAACGAAATTCGATGATGAATGTTGCAGTGGAGTATGAACGGCTGACGTCTGTATGCCTGTTCCACCTTCCCATTGGTACTTGAATACGCAAATAGCGTGTATTCAGGATGTCAGACGACACTTGGATTTTTCTGGGCCCGTGAAAAAATGGCACACACAACCAATATTGATATCATCCGTAAACGCGAAACATTTCTTAGACGAGAGAATCACGCAATGATGACTCGCATACTGCTGATCAGCTTCAGTCAGCCGCCATCACATGGGCAGAAATGGTAAGAAGGTGATTGATTTAATAGGGGTTAATTAGCTTTCGTTATGTTGACTGAATAGCGAGATGGACCAAATGGTTTGAGGTCCGTGGTTCGAACCCGACCTCGGCCTCTCGACTACCCTGTCTAGACTTGGGCAACCTGGCAGTATCCCAGCCCTCGTGCCTCCTTTGTGTGGCAGGGCGCGTAGGCACCGAAAGGGTGCTACAGCTGAACGATTTTTTTCTGGACGATGTTGACTGAATGAAGGGGAGTTTAACTGTTAGGG